TGAAGTCCACAAGCCTTAAAGCAAAGCTGGCAGCTGAGGAACTCTGGGAGTTGAAGTCCACAAGCCTTAAAGCAAAGCTGGCAGCTGAGGAACTCTGGGAGTTGAAGTCCACAAGCCTTAAAGCAAAGGTGGCAGCTGAGGAACTCTGGGAGTTGAAGTCTAATGGCCTTAAAGCAAAGCTGGCTGAGGAACTCTGGGAGTTGAAGTCCACAAGTCTTAAAGTTGCCAAGGTTGGAGAGCCCTGATTTAGACATCACCTTTCAGAGTTTCCCTTCAGACAGATGAGTTTCCACTAGTAATCCCCAAGTTACTCTGGTATTCAGTAACATGTGAAGCTAGGCCACTATACAGGTGGTCCTTGACCTACGACCAGAACTGAGCCCTCGTTTCCATTGTTAAGCAAGGCAGTTGCTAGTTTCGCCCGCTTTATGACCTTTCTTGCCACAGTTGTTAAGTGAGCCCCCTGCAGTCATTAAGTTAGTAAAACCCGGAGCGCGAGTGAATCTGGCTTCAACATTGACTGTTTCTCAGTAGGTCGCAAAACGGGATCCCTTGAGCCAATGGGACACTGAAACCGTCATAAATGTGAGTCAGTTGCCAAGCGCCTGAAATTTTGATCCTGTGGCCATTGCGGACACTGTATGGAAAACAGACCTAAGACATTTTTTTCAATGTCTTTGCAGCTTCGAACCGTCGCTCAACGAAGGGTTGTTAAGACAAGATCTACTTGCTAGGTTTGAACTCGGGAGAGGCAATTAAACTGGTTGCTGGCATTCTCACCGATTAAACTCTTCTCAGGGGGAGTGGGAACAATGACCCCGTGCTGGGCGTGTTTTTCCAGAAGCTTCTCGTACAGGCCCAGGAAGTCACTGAATCGTCTCTTCACGGAGAACTGCTGGTTCCTGAACATTGGCAGAGTGGTCTGGGAGACAAAGGAAAAATCCGGTTAGTCAAACAGGAAGCTTGATAGCGATAGCCCTGGGACTTGTATCCCGCTTCACAGTGCTTTTAAAGCCCTCTCTAAGCGGTTTACAGAGTCAGCCTCTTGCCCCTGACAATCTGGGTCCTCATTTGACCCACCTCGGAAGGATGGGAGGCTGAATCAACCTTGAGCCGCTGAGGATTGAACCTCTGGCTGTGGGCAGAGTTAGCCTGCAATACTGCATTCTAACCACAAGGAAGGAAGGAAGGAAGGAAGGAAGGAAGGAAGGAAGGAAGGAAGGAAGGAATAGCATCTAGACTTCACAGCCCTCTCTAAGCGGTTTACAGAGTCAGCATATTTCCCCCCAACAATCCAAGTCCTCATTTTACCTTCCTCGGAAGGATGGAAGGCTGAGTCAACCTTGAGCTGGTCAGGATCGAACTCTTGGCAGTGGGCAGAGTGAGCTTGCAATACTGCATTCTAATCACTGTGCCACCACAGCTGAAACTACCTATTCTACAGAGAATTTTTTATTTCCCTAGAGCTGCAAACTCTCCTTGTCTGGCATTTAGGAGCTAGTGGGAAAATAAAAGAATTAAAACAAAGCCTCCAAGCCTTAAAAAAAAACAAAAAACAGGGTGTTTCTGGCCCTTTGTCTACATTCCCTCCAAATAATGTGTCCTTGAAGCCTTTCATCTCAGAGGCTTTCCAAAGTCCCCATTCAAATGGGAGGAGGGGGAGGAGAGAGGAGGAGGAGAATGAATAAGGAGGAGGAGGAGGAGAGGAATGGAGATGGGAGGAGGAGGAGGAAGAAGGAAGGGAGAAGAGAGGAGGAGAGAGAGAAGGAAGGTGGTGGAGGAGGAGAAGAGAAATGGAAATGAGAGGAGGAGGAGGAAGAAGGAAGGGAGGAGAGAGGAGGAGGGGGAGAAGAGAAGGAAGGAGGAAAAGAGGGAGAAGAGAGGAGGAGGAGGAAGAAGGAAGGAGAGAAGAGGAGGACAAGGAATAAGGAGGAGGAGAAGAGGAATGGAGATGGGAGGAGGAGGAAGAAGAAGGAAAGGAGGAGAGAGGAGGAGGGAGAGAAGAGAAGGAAGGGAGGAGAGAGGAGGAGGGAGAGAAAAGAAGGAAGGAGGAGGAGGAGAAGAGGGAGAAGAGAGGAGGAAGAAGGAAGGAGAGAAGAGGAGAAGGAATAAGGAGGAGGAGAAGAGGAATGGAGATGAGAGGAGGAGGAAGAAGAAGGGAGGAGAGAGGAGGAGGGAGAGAAGAGAAGGAAGGAGGAGGAGAAGAGGAAGGGAGAAAAGAGGAGGAAGAAGGGAGGAGAGAGGAGGAGAGAAGAGAAGGAAGGAGGAGGAGGAGAAAAAGAGGAAGGAAGGAGAGAGGACGAGGGAGGGAGGAGAGAGGAGTAGGAGAAGGAAGAAGGAGGAGGAAGAGAAGAAGGAGGATTATAGGATCCTTGGTGCTCTCAAAGCTCGGTTGTTTTCGTGCAGATGTTTCGTTACCCAACAAGGAAACATTAATCGTGCCAGAAGGGAGTGGGGTTTGTGGCAAGGAGGAGGAGGAAGGAGAGAGAGAGAGGGAAGAGGAGGAGGAAACGAACAGATGAGGTTATTGTTCCAACTGTTCCTCCACACCATCCCTGGGGTGGCTTTGCTAAGAGATGATCAGAAACCACCTGCGGCTTTGGAGAACCTGCTTGAGCCCCTTTCAAAAGGGGGGGGGGGGAAAACGAGAGAGTTCCTGCTTTGAACACCACCAAGTCCTGGAGACAAAAGCCTCAACACACAGGGCTTCCCACGCAGAGAGACCAGGAAATGACTGGAAAGCTGAACCCCAGCTTGGAGCCTTTTGGACAGGTGGCGCACGAAGAAGTTCATTTAGAAAAATAAGTTGCGTGGCAGAGTTTAGACGCCTGGTGCCACCGTGAGGCCGTCACCATTGCTGTTTTTAAAGAGAGACAGGAGTTCTGATGGAGAATCAACCTGCAAGAACTGGCTGGAAATTAAAGGTGCGAGAGAGACTGGATTTTCTCACCAACCTCTCTACTCACATTCCCCTTCTCCAACTTCGGACTCCCACGATTCCTTGGATCATTTGAAGTCTCGGGAGGTTCACACATTATCCATCAGACCATCTCCTGCATTTTCTCCACCTCGTGCAATTCTAAAGTAGCCACTGCCTAAGGCAAAAGTTCCCCTTGCACACATGTGCTAGTCGTCCCTGACTCCAGGGGGCGGTGCTCATCTCCGTTTCAAAGCCGAAGAGCCAGCGCTGTCCGAAGACGTCTCCGTGGTCATGTGGCCGGCATGGCTCAACGCCAAAGGCGCACGGAACGCTGTTACCTTCCCACCAAAGGTGGTCCTTATTTTTCTACTTGCGTTTTTTCATGCTTTCGAACTGCTAGGTTGGCAGAAGCTGGGACAAGTAACAGGAGCTCACTCCGTTACTTGGAGCTGGGGATTCGAACCACC